CTCAGCTTTACCGCTGAGCGTGTAGTATGTTTTATTTGCTACACGCAGGTAAGCAGAAAGCACAATGTGATCCTGGCGGCAGATGGGGCGAGATTGTCGGGATGGATGTGACAAGTTTTGAAACAATTTATGATATGTCAATATTAAAATCGCTTCCGCAATATTGTTGAATACTCCGTACTGGATATGTTATGAAAAATATTATTGAGATTAATAAAGTGTGTTTGAAAAGTTTTAAATTTTTACGATTACCAAGTTAAATACTTTAGTCCGAATGGGGCTGCAGACCTGGACGGATTAGGGTGTTACAGTATATGTGTGCTGTGTATATCTTTTTATCATATGAAGTTATCGTAGAATATCATAAATCATGAAAACATAAAAAATAATTATTTCATAGTTGATTTAATAATAGTTTGAATTTAAACTAATTAAAAATTAAAGTATTGTTTAATTTGATTGTAAAAATTGGAAACGGATACGGATATATCCGATATTCGACCGATATCCGACGGATATGGATACAGTTTTGATTTTCAGTATCCGTCAAGATCCGTATCCGAATTCGATATCCGACAAAAATAAACGGATACGGATTTGGTAATGACACATCCGATCCCAGGGGCGGACCCAGGATTTTTCACCATGGGGTCGATCATATATTTAAAAATGTGAGGCTGTATTTCATTTGTTGTGTCATAAGTAAAATAAGATTTATATTAGAAAATATTCTCAAAAATAATTTTATGGTATTAACATGTAATTTAATTTTCTTAAACTGACGTTCAGAGTTTACAATAATCTAAATTTTTAAATGAGATGGATGAATCATTAAAAAGCGAAAGATGTATCATGAGAATTTATTTTGGAAAAATGAGAAATAATATCAAACAGATATAAATAAGTGTAAAGTTTATAATTTTTTTCGATATAGAAGAGAATAGAAAAATAACAAACAGATATATACGGAGTATGTTGATTTATAGTTTAATACCAAAGGAGATAACAAAATTTTTGAAGTACTTAATAAAATCAAAATACTCCATAAATATAAATTCTACGTATATTTTGAAATGACATGGATAAAACATTAAAAAGTTAAAGTTATTTTTATTATAAAAAAAGATAATTAATATCACTCGCATATATTTTTTCAAAAAATGAGTAACGTTTTAAATTTAAAAGTTTATTTCAACATAAAAACAATAAAATAATAAAGCAAACAAGAGGTCCAAAGTACAAAAAACTAGTCACAAAAAATCGTACTCATATTTTTCTTAAAATAAGTAAGGTTTTAAATTTATAAGGTTATTTCAACATAAAAACAATAAAACAAACAAGAGGTCCAAAGTTCAAAAAACATTATATTTTGAAATGACATGGATAAAACAATAAAATCAAAATACTCCATAAATATAAATTCTACGTATATTTTGAAATGACATGGATAAAACATTAAAAAGTTAAAGTTATTTTTATTATAAAAAAAGATAATTAATATCACTCGTATATATTTTTTCAAAAAATGAGTAACGTTTTAAATTTAAAAGTTTATTTCAACATAAAAACAATAAAATAATAAAGCAAACAAGAGGTCCAAAGTACAAAAAACTAGTCACAAAAAATCGTACTCATATTTTTCTAAAAATAAGTAAGGTTTTAAATTTATAAGGTTATTTCAACATAAAAACAATAAAACAAACAAGAAGTCCAAAGTTCAAAAAACTAGTCACAAAATGTCATCCAAGGGTAGTGGGGAATGGGAATCGAACTGGAGACCTAGTGCTGCACCTACCCGCGAGCGACCATGAGGCTATTCAAACACATATGTTATCACTCACTTTTAGTGATATATATACAGACAGACGACACAAATGGAGTATACTACTATAAAATTACGTGGAGGTCCGTGGGGTCGCGTGACCCCGTGTGACCCTATGTGGGTCCGCCCCTGTCCGATCCGATTAATATCCGTTTACACCCCTATGTATGTGTGACCGAGGTAAGAGGTGGCGAGTGGTAAGAGAGGGCAAGAGAAGTACATAAAGGTCTCGTTTGACATCAACATAAGAGATTAGTACTAGCATTTCAAAAAAAGTTATCCCACGGTAGCTTTTAGTGTAAACATCTTCATAATTAATTTACATCATCCTATAAAATACTTTTACTTCCACCTATTTTACACACCCTATAAAATACTTTTATAGGCACCTAAAATATCTAAAATATATCTCATTAGGTAGTTTATTGTGAGTAGAAGTTATTTTGGAATCTTTTAGACATTACAGACAGATTAAAAGTATTTTATGAGGTATGTCAAAAATTAGGGCGGAAGTATTTTTTAAGGAAGGAGTACTACAACCATAAGCCACTAAATTTCAAATGTATACTAATATTTGGTATAATGTAGTGTGTGTGTATTCTGATCCCCAATATCATGGCTTCATGTTCAAAAGTCATTGCATAGTTATTAATGATCCTAATCTCTTGAAGCTAATTTTTTTTTATAAAAAGTGAATACCTTTTTATCATGGAGACTAATCTCTAATAAGTTTTTTTGTTCATCTTGTGACACCCTCTAAACTCGCACAACACGCATTCACAGTACCCATAAGATCTTTGGGTTTAATGCCTGTTATTGTAAATAGTCATATTTTAAATATTGTGCTTAGTGTAGTCGTAAAAGCTGTTGTGATTGAGTGGTGTGTGTCAGTGTGTGTGGATTCACTCTGAGATGACACATTATGATGAAATAACATGCTTCAGTGAGATGACGCAAAGCTCACCACACTACACTACAAAGCTCACCAAAGACAATTACAAAGTTCACCAAACTGTTAGACAAAGCTCACCATATTTTTTCAACACTTTGATTTTTTTGAAAAAAAATCAAAGGAAGGGGTGCTGACTAGACTTTGACCATTGACCGTTGACCATCACCGGCCGCCGCCGGCCTCCGACCCTGTCGCCGGCAGCCGCCTCCGGTCTCCGCCGTGCCGCCGCTACTGACCGGTGTTGCTATTTTATTTTTAATTATTTTTTTAATTTTCAAAATTAAAAAAACTGAGTTTTGGTGTTCAAAGTGGTGAGCTTTGCTTTGTTTCTAGGTGAGCTTTACATCGGCCATTGGTGGTGAGCTTTGCAGTGTAATGTGGTGAGCTTTGCATCACCACATTACACTGGAAGGTGTCATCTCACTGGAGTCAATATATATATATATATATATATATATATATATACACACACACACACACACACAGATATATATATATATATATATATATATATATATATATATATATATATATATATATATATATATATATATATATATTCTACACAGATTTTTCCTGACTAAATTATCATCCTAATAAAAAGAATTATTATTGAAATTAATATAAAAATTCATTGAAAAAAATTATTATTATTATATTCAATTTGCATTTTTATAATTAATTTTAATTTTCATGGCAATTAGAAAAGGTTTAAAACAAAATAATCTAATTATATTTTTAGAGTGCAATCATCTAATTCTTTACTTAACTCAATAGGCTCAAAACATTAGTTCCCTAAAAATAACATGTCCATGTGTCGTGATTTGGCCCAAGAAGTTTGGAGAGAAAATTTTTCCATAGGGTCCATTTGATATATATAATTGATGGAATTTGAATTTTATTGGATTCAATTCCATAGAATTAAATTCTGCCAATTCCAATTCAGTTTTTGTGCTACTAAACACCAGAATTGAAATTGAAGTTCCTAATTCCAATTTCATAGTTTGAATTTCATATAAGAAACGGAACTTGTTTGGTAAAGAGATAGATGTGAGGGAGAAATGAGGCCAATCTTTTTTTGTAATCCGATCTTCACCACGATTCATATCTGTTCTTCATCCTCCTCCCTTTGTCCTTTTATTTTGTCCTTACATCACTGTCTTCAATAGACCTGACAAAAAGTGACCCGACCTGTTTTTGACCCGAAACCCGACTTGAAAACACTGGGTTTTGAACAAAGGTTTTGATGACTGAACCCGAAGTTGACCGAACCCGAAATGACCCGCTAAAAATGGGTCAAACCCGACCGAACCCGAACTCGACCTGACCGACCCGCTAAACTAAGAATTTTTCAAAATTATACACTTTTTTTACTTGTTTTTAGTGTATAAATTTATATTTTCAGACAAAATTTTAATGATATTGCATAATTATCTTACTATTTTCCAAAACTTAAACAATTTTAAATTCCTTATATTGATTTATATATATCTAAAAACTACTTTAGAGTTTAAAATAATATAATTTTATAGATTTAGTACTTTTTTTATATTTTAAATTTATTTAATAGAAAATGTAAGTGTTAATGTGAATTTAAAAATTTAAAAAACCAAAGTCATAACCCGTTGGGTCGACCCGAACCCGATGACACTGGGTCATGAACATACAGTTCTCAACCCGAACCCGAATTAACCCGAACCCGAACTTGAAGTGACCGAACCCGAACCCGACCTGACCGACCGATTTGCCAGCTCTCTTCAACAACAAAAAATCCCAAAATTATTTCCATTCTCTTTTAATTTGTTTTTGGATCAATTTCTACAGAGTATTATGCTCATACATTTAAAAAAAGAAGAATTTACTTAAATAACACTAAAATATTATGACTTTTCCTAAATAGTATTATATGTGTTTTTTTGCCAATGTAACAATTTTAATCATTATTCATTAGTCATTATTCAAGTAAATATTCCTCATCACTGGACATTATTTCTCCTTCTGAATATTATTAAAATTATGTTTGGTTCAAGGAGTTTAAAAGTAAAAGAAAAGAAAATGATTCTCTCATTTTCCTCGCTAAAATGGAAGGAATTTGGTTTTCTCTGCACTTGATATGTTTTGTTTTTCTCATTTTCTTTTCTCCTTTCTAACTAAACTAGAAAATTTATTTTTTACTTCATTTTCATTTCTTTTTCTTTTTGAAATTCTTGAAACAAACATAGTGTAAGTATTATTTAGCAAATAAAACATTTAAGTGCTATTTAAGAAATGAATTAAGTTTTAGTGGTTAAATATTTGTTCATGAATGTACAACTCGAGGCCACAAGAGAACTACTGAATTTTCTCCAAATCCAAGCACATATATAACCGTTAATCAACAAAGCCCGTGAAATAATTCTGATTAAAAGTCACTTTCATTTCAAGCAGGCAACAGCGGCGGATGCTCTGCTCTTCGGCGGTCGCCTTCAATTTCTTCATTCCTCTTCTCCTCGATCTGTGTATACATTATTAAGCATACTCGTGTTGCAGTACGATACATGATCAATATATATATGATGGAATGTTCATGTATTTCATCCAGAAATGGCTGAATTGATCTTCTGTTTTGGGTTGCAGGGGATCGGAAGGAGGGTAGAAATGGACGCCGGCGATCAATTGGCGAGCCGGCGACGAAAGGGTGTCGTGGAGCGGTGGCTGGGAATGAGAGGGATCAGCTGCTGCGGCGCCTCGTGGGGTTTCTTGCCGGCGACGGCCGCCGCAGTTACAGACGACGACGGAGTTGGGGAGAATGGGCCGGCGCCGTCGTGTGCGGCGGAGACTCCGGCGGGATCAGGGATGAATCTTGCTGCGGCGTTGGAGGCCGAGCGGCACTACATGGCGGTTCGAGACGGAGGCCGAATCGCACCGGCCAGAATATCGTTGATGAGGTTGCTGGAGGAAACGGCCGAGGGCGGGGATGGGGTGGAGATGCAGAGCGGCGGCGGCGGCGACGCGGCGGCGTGCTGCGTGTGCATGGGGAGGAGAAAGGGCGCAGCGTTTATCCCGTGCGGCCACACCTTTTGCAGAGTGTGTTCGGCGGAGCTCCGCCTGAGCCGAGGCTCTTGTCCCCTCTGCAACCGATCCATTCTTGACATTCTTCACATTTACTAAAAAAAACAAGAGTTAAAATATAAATATTCAATTCAATTGTTTGGAGACCATCTATAAGACTATAGAGTTTGAAATCTTCACTTTCAAACGACAAAGCATAACTTAGATTTATAAAGTTTGAAATCTTCACTTTCAATGTAGGATCATTATTCTTCACACTAGACATTATTAAGTATGATTTAGAAAATAAAAAAAAGTTTAAATCCTACATTGGTAAATGTGATAGAATTTTAGGATGGGTATAGACATTTAGGTCGAACACTCGAACTACATTAAAAAATTGAATCCAATCGATTAGTTAGTTCAACTCAAGAGCTTATACATCGATTATTTTCCTCACGCTTTTCCGATGTGGGATACTCTTAACAAAATGACTTATGTTTTAATCTTATTTTTTGGAATTTTTTTTATTAAATTCTCAAACAAGAAATTAGAGTTGAATCTGAATTTGAAATACGGATTTGAAGTTTTGGGTTGTCTCACTTAATTTTAGAAGATGAAATCGGTGATATCAAATGTTGATATGGGTAAATCTAATATTGATTTCAAGACACGGCCTTTTAGGGAATTCAGATAACTCTAGATTTTTATTCCAGATTTCTTTTTACTCTCACAAAACATATATTAAGGGAATTTCATAACTCAGGTCTTAGGATATCGAAATTTATATTTTTCTCTCATCAAATAGGTCCTAAGATGTGCAAAAGTTTTCCTAAATCCCAACGTTAAATTGAGTCCTTTTAGGTTAATCTATGTTGCTCCATATTTTTGAAGGTGTGATCCTTTGAGAAAGACACGCCGCCCAACCCTGGAGCAGTGGGAAGATTTGGAAAAGCAAATTCCTCACCCCAACTTTCGCATGTATAACATGCAATTTCTTTTTTTTTTTGTTTTTTTTGTTTCGCATGTACTACATGCAAAAACATCAACATCAAACTTTTTCTCAATTTTTTTAAAAATGATTTCGCATGTAGTACATGCAAAATTAAATAAATTCAATTTTTTTTTTCATATTTCAAAATTTAAAAAAACATCAACATCAAACTTTCATCACTCAAACTTTTTCCCAGTTTTTTTTAAACGATTTCACATGTAGTACATGCAAAATTAATGAAATTCAATTTTTTTTTCTTTTTTCAAAATTTAAAAAAATTATCAAATTAAGATTTTTTTTGTTTCCTTCATATTTCAAAATTTTAAAAAATTATCAAATTAAGAATTTTTTTTGGTTTCCTTCGTATTTCAAAATTTTAAAAAAATTATGAAATTAAGTTTTTTTTGTTTCCTTTATACTCGGGGTACTCCGTAATTCATAAAAACCGATAACAAATTACCAATTGAAAAAGTTATCAAATTAACAATTTTTTCGTTTCCTTTATAATTTACAATTAAACATAACAAATTACCAATTAAAAAAGTTATACTCCCTCCGTTCCTGATTATTTGTCTACTTTTATTATTACAGACTATCCAATGCATTTTTT